AAATGTCTACATTACATTATGCGACATTATGTTTTGCATAATGTAAGGCACATAATGCAGAACGCCCATCTCTAGTCACATCATGCCAGATAACAAGAAATTATTCACCATTTCAATATGATCGTATAACAGGAATTTGTGTTTTAATTTCTTTTTTTTTTTTAGTTATTTTCCCAGTTATTGGATATTTTCTGGGCCTTTTTATTTAAGTTTTCAAAATTAAAAAATGTAAATGAAGACAATGAAATGTAATAAAAATGATTAGCAGCACAATTTCCTGTCATGCCATCATATGAATGATAAATAATTCATTTGTTCCATGTCAAAGAAATAATTGAAACACTTCCAGTAACGTATTTATGGGCATAAACATTACATATGAGTGCTGCCAAGGGAAAAGGGCATCCTGTTATATAATTAATTATTGAATCAATAATTAATTAAAAAACAGAGGTGCCATTTTCCCTTGGCAACACTCAAATGCTACTTACTATTCTCGCCATTCCAAGAAATAAATAGTATTTGAGTCATTATAACAATTTTGTAATTCATGCACGTTTTAAAAAATCTAAAATTAATATTTTTCTGTTAATAGTATGCTTATACAAATTTAGAAAATCGAAACAAACTTGTCTAGACTATGTAAAAGTCTCACATAAATCAATAATTATGTGAATCAATTAACTTGGATAAGATTTTTAATAAATGTAATAAATAAATAATTAAAATCAAATATAAATAATACATTATTACCTAACAATTCTTACGTTCTTTTTTGATTTTATACTGTGCAATATTATCAATAAATATGGAGCATATTTCAGAATTCAATGCCGAAGATTATGCAGATGATCAAGAAGCTAGTTTAGAAGAATTATTTGATCATTTTGATAATTTTGTAGAATACCTTCAAATTAATGATAATATCGATATTAATAAATTACCTCCTAGTGCAATATTAATTAAGCGTAATAGCAATCCTCCTCGTAGTAAATCCATTGAAGGCATTGAATATAGTATTCCATCAAGTACTGACTTCCATAAGTGGGTGCAAGAGTTTAGTAAATCGACTGGAACGGCTTATGTAAGACGTAATATTGAGAAAAATGAAGGAAATGTAATCTTGCGAGTTACATATAAATGCCATCGTGCTGGAGCATATCAAAGTGTAGCGGGTAATGATCCAACAATTAAGAGGCAACGTCCTAATCAAAAAGAAACAAAAAAGTGTGACTGCAAATCTCATATTATTGTTACTAATTTAAAGACACCTAATGGTACAAAATGATTATGAAATATACACCACATACTAATCACATTCCTGGTTCGGACGAAGATATAGCCACCTTAAGGCTTTCTACAGAGGTACGTAACTGGATTGCTGAGCGTATTCGGGATGGACTAAATGTTAAAGGAGTTAATAGATTATTTCAAAAGCGGGCTTATGAAATGTCAAATATATGGGAAAATCGAAATAAAAAAAATGCTATAAATCTTCGTGATAATCTTGTAACTCAAGATGATATCTATAATATTTGGAAAGAAGTTATTATAGAGAGTCAAATAAAACATAAATCTGAAGAACAAAGTATAGAATTATGGAGAATCGAGCTTGATCAAAAAAAGGACCTTACCTGTGCAATTTCTTAAGCAGAAGATGCTTTTTATTTCTTAAAAATTGCAAATAATTTTTTTTTAATATATACACTCTTACACTTGATTACCTAAGCACGTTGATTTAAGATCGATGCCCAATTTTATATAATTGTTCTGAACAATTACTAATCAACGTGCTAAGGTAATTGAGTGTACAAGTGTATGCTAAAAAAAAAAAATTATTTGCCATTTTAATCATTCAAAATAGTGATAGTTTTTATTTTATTTTTTTTAGGAA